AGAGAGAGAGAGAGAGAGAGAGAGAGAGAGAGAGAGAGAGAGAGAGATAGGGGCTGAAAGCCAGTGATGGTGTCTCAAAGGAAATTAAAGAAACAGGGAAGAAGAAAAGAAAGGCAGGAGAAAATAAAATCAATGAGCGCCATCCCAGCGGGCTTAGAGAGCAGGAGGAGAACGGGAGAGCTGGAGTTTAATTAAATGACGCGCTGGTGAATAGACACTTTGAAGGCAAATCTTTGATTACAGAATGGCAACGACTGGAAATTCAATTGGTCAGTGTCAGTGACCATTTGATCCTCTTCAGGGTGTGTTTATGAGTCCGCAGAATCACCAAACTTCCCTCTACATGACTGGAGTGTGCATTTTAAGTCAGTTGATCTCCGTGTGTTTCCGTACCAGTGTCAGAGTCTCGGCCAGCCGGTTTTCGATCTGCCCCTTCATCGCTCCTTCGGGTATCTGGACCTGAGGGTCCGCGAAGACCAGCTGACGCCTGCGGCCTCCGCCGGGCTTCCTGAGAGGAGGAGCTGCCGTCTGATGGAAAGCGTGAGAAGCCCCACAAGCTTTAATGTTTTTACAGCACTGGGTCTATAAATGGACGTCACACAAACTGGAAATCATGAATCTGTGTGTCGATACACACACGTGTGCTTTTTTTCTCTGTGACCGGTTTTCCAAAACGAAACTAGCAGCTCGTGAGTCACTTTGTGGAATGTGAATGAAAGCTGATGACAGCGAACGCCTCGTCGCTGTCGTCTCCATGTTTCCTGCATTTATGACGGCAGGTAAATTAAAATGTGCCGGGAATTTCCCTTTTAGTGTCATAATGGGTGTAGACAGGCACTCAACTTGGATTTAATAGATTTTTGTATTTAGGACGAGATCAAAGTTTGCCTCCAGTAATGACAGGGTGGCTTGTATGCTCTAAATAACTCGGTGCGAGTACAGCAATTACAGTGGTGTTAGTATTTCTTCACACTCAAGACACAAACTGCAAGTCTTTCCCTATTTCAGTTTACATTTTTGCATGATTACAACTACCAGTGCACACCTGGCGTCCCCCGTCTCTCACTCCTTCACGAGGACTTCCTGTGTCTCTGTCTCCCTCTTTCCCAGAGGGTGGGCTCGGCATGGCCACTTGCAGCGGGGTCATCTCCAGGGCGACAGCAGCCCGAGGGACCTCCGCAGGGTGACCTGACTCCTCGCCGAGCAGCCACGCACTGTCCCACTCTGCTCTCGGCCTGGACACAGCGACACACACACGCTTACTGTACAACACATGTTTTACTCTATTCATGTCACGTTCTGAGCTAAGTATACTGACGGCACGCTGACTGCCAAGGACAGAAGACGCACCGGTCGATAGAGGACGGGGCTCCTTCTCCTTCCCTGGTGCTCTCGTCTGCTTGCTGCCCTTTCGCTTCTGTTTGACACACACTCGTACATGATTCACAGTGTCACCATGTGGCACAATAGATGAGCACAAATAAACATATGATCAAGTGGACACAAATCCCCAAAAAGGATCTCATCTGTAAAAAGCTTAGTCACGATGAAATGACATACGTTATTAAAGAAACTGGTTTTCCTTGTTGTACAGGAAATCTACTGTCTCACTGCTGTTTTAATGCAGAAGGTAAACAAACGTTCTGCTGGCGTAGAAGAACAGTCGGCCGTGTCATCAAAGCGAAGCAGGCTTTTCTCTAACTTAAACGACGTTCCCTCTCAATTCTCCCCCTGAATCGAAAGCCTCTCCTGGAAGTAAACCTCTTCTTTCTGTCAGCAAAAGCTCTCACAGAGTCACAATTGCTTTTTTTCAATTACAGCCGTGGCACAAAATAACTTGACCTGGTCGACTGGTGCAGACGCGTAACGAGAGAGGAGGAACACACCGAGGGGGCTGATGCACCGAGTACAAACCCGCAGTATGACATCGGACCTAAAACACAAAGATACACACGCAATGCTAATCACACACTGAGGTACAACACCTTTACGGAAATGGTCTGCTTGATCCATCAACAAGTCGATCTCTCTGGATGTGGCTTCGGGAAGCTCAACTCCCTCAAAATACTGCTGCAGACAGAAGAGGAGGAGAGACAAACAGAGAGAGATGGGGACCAGAAACAAATATAAGCAATGGGGTTGGATGTTTAGTGTCCACGGTGATTAGTGTTGTAAGACAAGTGATGTAAACACAGCAGTAAACACAGCGAGCACAAAACAGAAGCGTATATATAGATAGACTTTTTGCATGCAAAGCAAAAGTAAACCCAAGGGGCAGACGGCAACAACAACAGCAACGTGAGCCACATATCTCTGCTAATGCACAGTGAGTGCAGGCTGATGTAATTAAGTCCGATCTAATCAAGCTGATGAGGCTTCAGCAACAGCGTTATCTGTCCCCAAGTGACACAATGAGGAGGGCAACAATGGACCCAGACTCACTGTAGTGAAGCCGCTTTTATGACCAAGACGATATATAGCTCCGACTTCTCTTAAGCACCGCGGACGCTGAGCGGTGACTTCAGGACAGCCAGTTAGGCGCCAGGAGTTTTAACGTCCACATTCCACCGCACCGTTAACTTCCTGCATTATTTACACCGTCTTAAAAAATGGATGGAATTCTTTTAAACATTTGAAAAAAAAAAACAACAAAAAACAACTGTCTCCCATTATTATTTGTTCTTTTTTTTGAGCAGTGAGAGAATAATGAGAAATAAAAATGTAGAATTTCAAGAAAAATGGAGTGGGCCGTATAGAATCTGTATTGGCTTTAATGCTACTTCCTCATCACAATGACAGGAGGGACCAGCGAGCGAGCGGCCTACTTGTGACAAAGAGCTGAACTGATTCTGCTGTAGGCGAGCGGTCCCGTTTCCCGGAGAGTTTACCTCGGCAGCCGTGATGACGAACTGCTGCTCCTCTTTCAGGGAGATGGCGGCCGGAGGTGACCTGAAACCTGGTTCAGCACAGCAGGGAGGAATTAAGCCCAAATCTGGAGCCTGGGGCTGATGCCTTCTTGTGCAGATAGACTAGAGATTAATTCGCTGATCACAGAACATGTATTCACAGTGTTCCTAATAGCAGCAACATGTTTTGTGCCAAAAGTTTAAATTTAGAAGAAAATCGGAATCTAAGCTAATGAACTGACCCATTTCTAAAACCTCTGAAGAATCAGAACAACCTCATTTATTTATGTAAGTGGGTTTATTTAAAGTGCATAGACCTACAAATAAACCCCTGTGAACATTGTATTGTAGTAAGTTCTGTCCCATTTCAGGTGAGGCCTCTTGAAATGGGACACAGCTGCCGTCTGTCAAACGTTACATCATCAGTCTCACCGTCGATGTCGTCCGTGCTGTGAGGACTGAGCACCAGGGAGTGCCGGGAACCTGCCGCTTCCATCCCCGACATTTGCTAGAAACGTAGACACAAACATGACATAGCGAGACAGAACACCTGAAACGTGTTGTGCGTGAACACGAGGTTAAGGCTGTCGTGGACCAAACTGATTTAGAGGAAGTATTTTTTCTCTTTTTCTTCTTTCGCCTGTCTGATACATAAACTGGCTCTGAATATACAGCAGGTACTAATTTGCAGTCCAAGTTTAGGGATGCTTTAAATTCCATGACGGCACCCCAATAAATGATTTTCATATTCCCACACGTTTGCTCCGTCTGTAATTGAACCCACACATGGTGTTTTCCACAGGGAACGATTACGAGGAGGACAAAGTTCAGCCGCGTCGGCCAGATTTACAGCACGCAGACTGGGTCAGAGTCATCTACACCTGTGCATCGTATGGAACATGTGCTGTGCTGGAATGGGAGTGACCCACACACGTGAACATAAGGCCAAGAAACAATGACTCAGCAGTTGATGGTTTATCAGTGACTTGAAGGTGAGCATAAAAAAGTGGAATATTTTAGATTATGAGTTGTTGTTGAGTTTCGTTGTGCTAGGCTACAGAAACAGAGACATTAGACCACACCACCTGCAGTACATGTTGTACAGGTGTAGGTATCCTTACTGTACCTGGTGTATCTTATACATGTTGTACAGGTGTAGGTATCCTTACTGTACCTGGTGTATCTTATACATGTTGTACAGGTGTAGGTATCCTTACTGTACCTAGTGTATCTTATACATGTTGTACAGGTGTAGGTATCCTTACTGTACCTGGTGTATCTTATAGGGGCTGGGCAGTTGGTGTGATTCCATGAGGCCGAAGAAGGGGTCCTGAGCTCCCTCAGCCGCCTCCATCATGGTCATGCTGTCAGGCACAGCCAAGGTCAACCTGCCAGAGAGAGAGAGAGAGAGAGAGAGAGAGAGAGAGAGAGAGAGAGAGAGAGAGAATATGTTACTAATCAGAATACGAGATCCATCAATCACATTCAGGTCTGCGTAGCTAATCAAACACTGTGCATACATTTATCTGCACTGTTGATTTTAATGGTAAATGATAAAATATTACCGGAGTGAGATTAACACGCAGCATCTTTAGAGTGCAGGATGTGGAAAAGATTTATTGCAGAAACAAAAGAGCTCATACATTACCGCGGTTACATAACACGGCTTATTAAACATTTACGAAGCCGGTCGCATGAAAGTAGCTCAATTTGTCCATCACTCACGCGATAACACACTACCAGCTCCTTTTCACAGTCTCTATTCCCCAAAACAATCCCCCTCATAAATATTCCACCAGACGCGCTTGAGCTCTTCTACTTCCTTAAACACATACAATCTCTGAACAGCTTAAAACTTTAGGCGCCCAAGGCTACAAAACAGTCCACAGCGCATGATCAAATACGGTGTGTGTGTGTGTGTGTGTGCAGACCTATCGGACTCAGCCATGTCAATATCTATGCATCTTTTAGAGCGCAGCAGGCGGTCAATGGTCTGTTGAATCTCCTCTGGAAAACAGAAAATGGGTTAAAACTGAGTTTTCACACACAAACATAAACCTCTTAGAAGGACAATCTCCACCCTGCCATGCTTATGAAATACAACATAACCATATTTCGTACTCTTGGGAGGTTCTAATCTATTTTGCTGATTGATGAAATGAAGGATTGTTGCTATGTCCCGAGCCACCCCACACAACAGACGTGGCTTCTCCTGCTGCTCATCATTATGCATTGTATTTCACTGTTTTCATCAACCACGACACAACAGCATGATTGCGAATCTGTCGGACGCAATCTCAAAGTCAGGCTGTAATTTAAGAGCAGACGGGCGGAGACTGTTGAGCTGTGTTTGGCTTGTAATGCATTCATCAGCTCTTTATTGGCTTCTAAATCAGAGTTGTCAAGGTGATTTGGGAGACATGCGTTGTGCAGATGTACGACAATGACATTGTTTGGGTTTTAAACCAAAACAGAGAGAGATTTCTACGTTTTGCAGCTGACAGAGAAGGTTTGTAGAGAATGTAGCTTGGAGGATCATTACGACTGATTTTGTTTTCTGCTCTTGCTTGCTCCACTTCCTGTGTTGCCCTTACCGAGCAAGAAGCCACACTGCTTGTGGTAGACTATGACCACCCCGTACTGCAGCTGAGAGGACAGGTAGAGAGAGAACCGAGGCCTTGGTAGGTTGGGTTGCGGTGCAGGAACCTGAGCTGTCACGTAGTCCAAAATGTCCCCGCTGTAACGATAAACAGAATTACTGATGCAAATTTAAAATGTGTTTCATGTCAAACAAGTCACGCTGGATCCCTAAAAATAACCTCAATATTTAAATTCAAAGAGGTTATAACACTATTCTCTTTTAGCTTCAAACTCTAGCAGGTGAGTATAACTTTATACCAAACTAGACTGCAGATTGCTTCAGAACAAGCTGCTAAAGATGCATCCTAGCACATTGTTACTATTAAAAGTAATCTATTACCAAGCAATATAAGATGGGCAAGATTGGTAGCGGATTGTTACAAAAACTACTGGAGAAATACTTATATATATCTATATATATATATAAATTAAACACATTTTTTATCTGGTCTAACATTCTTATTAATGAAATGAATGAGTCTTGCTAGTGACAGAAGCAGACAGCTAAGCTAAGCTAAAACTAGCCACATTCTTACCATGTTCGGTTGACGTCGACTCTGAGAAGCTCTCTGCGTGTGACCCTGAGGCCTCTGGTGGCTGCTAACCTGAATAACACAACACATTTTTGGATATTAACGATATTTAGAATGAAACCTTTGCTGACAGGCCCATCTGACACCCTTACAAGCTAATGAGCTAACGTTAGCTTTATTTTAACTCACCAGACTGTAGAAAAACATCCAGAGTGGCGTTGGAGGACAGTTGGGTAGTAAAACATTTTAGCTTTCTAGATGAAGCAGATACTTTGAGGACAGAGGTAAAGGTTTAGGAAAGTATTTAACAAAGTTAATGGTAAAATATTAAAAGCTTTATAAATTGTACCGCGAATTTCAAGCGCTAAAAACGTAATGAATCTCACCAACCAATCAGCTCGTGAGCTTCAGCGCATTGAAAGTAAACAGTCGTGATGCATTCAAGGACAAAGGAAAGTTAGAGACCTGATGTTTGGACGGTAATAGTTTTTTAAGAGGCTGGTGTTTTGAGATAGAAATGTGAATATTAAGGGTACAGCATTATTCTAGATATTGCTTTTTTCCACATTGAAAGTATTAGTTACTATTATGATGGTAGATGATTAGCAGTGATGGAAAGTACATGTACTTAAGTACTGCACTCTACTAACAAACCTACAGAGTTAATCATTTTATTGGTTCCTTGAGTGAACTTAAGTACTTGTCATTTTCATGAGTATTTCCATGTTATGCTGCTTTATGCTTACATTAATGCAGTATATTGTAATTGTCCTTGTACTGCATTCACTCATTTACATCCACTACATCACAGCTACATACAAAAATATGACCAGTTTAGAAAATAATCTGCATTGTTATAGATCAAACAACCGGACAGTATATTAAAGTAGGCTAAAATGATCTCCATATCAACCAATTACAACATTAAAGTACTGCTTGTATGTGAAGATCATCCATGATCATTATTCAATAGTGTATTATTTACAGGGAACATTCTGCACAGTGATACATTTTACTTTTGACACTTAAAGTAGGCCTACGTTATGTTGATAATACTTTTGTACCAAGTAAAACTTGTTGAAATGTTGAGTTTCACTTGTAATCAGTAATATGATAATGTGGTTGCTCAACCACTACAAATCAGCTTTACAAAATGTGCAAATATTATGTTCAAGTTCAGGATGAGTCATGTAAGTTTTGCAGGAAAAGAAAAGATATGAAGATTGATATGAAAATACTCAAAATGATTTTTACGACACAAATGTCTCATGCAACAAAAGCTAAATTAACAGTTAACACAGGGACACATGATTACAACTCGGACAATTTGGTTTTTTTTTTATTGTGCTGTGTCTTTAAACTTTTGGTGAGGAAATTCATTGCATGGATGTATTTTCTTTATTATTCTAAAATGCACTTCTCTTGCTTTCGGGGTTGGAGGAATAGCACGTTGTTAGTTTTATAATTGTAATATTTGTTTTGGTGGCCGAAAGTCTTACTTCTATTTTTACTCATGGAAATGAGAGGAAAATGTGACGTCACCCTCCTTGTGGGTAGTGGTGAATGATTGGCCCCGCCTCTGTGCGCGAGGAGGCAGGCGGTAACGTGAACGTCGGGTGGTGGAGTCTGATTGAAGCTGCTTAGTGAAGAAACTACAGCAGAAGGAAACACACAGTCCTTTTTTTTGTTTTGCCAGAACATTCCCTTTAAAATGGCGTACCACAGTCCGTACAGAGCTTCACCGCCAAACAACGTGGCTCAGGACCAGACCTTTCTGTGGAATATCTTCCAGAGGTGAGTGGGGAGAAGGCGGCTCGTGTCGCTGCTGTCCGCCCGTCTCTCACTCCGCTCCGCAGTGGAACACGGCTGTCGTTGGTAGCGCGCGGGGGCAGGAAGAGAGAGCGGGGCTGGGTGGCGCTGACACGGAACTGTTTCATTCACAACTCGTTTGTCTTTACTCTCACGTCCTCATCACTGTTCGTGTCTGAAAGCAGTGCTCCGCAGTCGAAATGTGCGCCTCGTCAGGTTTAAGGTTACCCGTTCAGTTGCGGAGCTTCTAGGAAATACTACTGCACGGTGTACAACACGTATAGCCCACAGCTTTTCACGTCACGCGGCTCGTGTGTCAGTGTCACGGAGCTGATTGTTGGCGTGACATGGTCCCGAGATGAAGTCATGGACAATCAGCTGGTTCAATCTGCGAGCTGTCTCCCACAGCAATGAGAGTTTACAAACTGGGGTCCAGGGACCTCCAGGAGTCCTTGAAGCCTTTTGTTCTGGGTCCCCCCCCCCCCCAGAAAAATAGAGATTTAAGATCACTCATGTATTATGTATATGAGATAGAGATATGAGAGAATATTCCAGGACTGAATCTTTCAGTCTGCAACACATCTGCACCAAGTCAGCAGTGAAGAAAATCCTCTCAAGATGGGGTTTCCTCAAAAATCCTGACAGTTGTGAGGCTATATGACGCAGTGTGTGTCTATTTATGAGAGGCTGACATGAATACACTGGAAAGCTCTGTCCAGCATAATAACTATAGACCGTGTAATCAGTTCTTGGGCTGATGTCACAGTATCAGTGGCGGTTTACAACCACTGACAAGTCATCAATTTCTCCACAGCCTGAGTCAAAAGTGTGTCAGCAGCTGAGAAGGTCACAGTAGTAGGCAGAGAGGTGGGGGGGCACTTGATATGCTATGGCTCCTGGTAATAGTAAGCTATAGAGTTATGTAATGCTGCAGAGGATTTTTTTCTCTCTCTTTGCTTTCTCTCAACATTGAGATGCTACATGCATTGCAAGGCTCGGATCACCCTTAACGAATTATTAATGTGCGTGGTGCCAAACCTCTTTATAAATCAGTTTGATGTACACATTCTGTCTCCTGATTACGTCACACAAGTACAATAATATGACTTTCATCAACCTACACAGTCCTCTCTGCCTGTCACTGTGCTGCTTCGTCTGCTGTCTCCTGGTATGTATCTGGTAGAGCAGTGCTGGGTTTCCCCTCAGTCATGTGATCAGAGTCAATAGAGCATAGGCCTCTCAATCTGTGTGTGTCTCACACACACACTTACAAATCAGTGACTCACAGTTCCCACTAGCTTTTTAACTTTGTGTATTCATTCAGATTAAGTCACACTATGTAACTCTCTTTATCATGTCGAATCCTGAATGTGTAACGACAGGAGAATGAATTGAGTCAGTTATTCTCAACGGGTTTTGCATAGTGAACGATGAAGGTAGGCCGACACCGAGTGAATCATGTGGAAGTCATTCGCTCCTTTAATGCCTGCTTTTATAATGAATGACGTTCGTATGACAAAAACGTTGCCACCCAGCCCTTCAAGTGTTAAGAAGAACATCAGTGTTTGAGTTGGATTTAGATCAACAACAAATATGTTGCTGTGCAACTATGACAACATGTTTCACAGATTGTATAACGCAGAACATTTTGGAAAATCACATTCAAACTTCAAATAAATGAGAACTTATAAGGAGTAAATTCACTTCTAGAATAAATGTACTGGAGTGAGTGAGATTCAAAAGACAATCCTTTTTACATAAAGTCAAAGTTTATCACTGAAACCAACCCTTGACCTGAACCACAACTTAAAGTATAGATCCCAAAACCTAAAACAGTAGGAATGGAAACTGACCGTTGCACCAGGATTTCCTTGGAAGGTTTTTTGTTAAATTGAATGCAGCTTTCATTTATTTTTTGTTCCCGCTATGGAGCCACAATGACATAGTTTATGTGGAAAGCAGGACGAGCTTTGTTCCACAAGCCTTTTTCCAGCCTGGTTGCTTAATAGGAAACAGTGAAACATGGGAAAATGTGAGTAGAATGACCGCGCCGTGGTGTTTGGTGTCGCGTCCTCCTGGAGTTTTACATACACGCTCTGTATTTGACAGCGTTAAGATGGACACGCCAGATGGTTAACTGTCTGTGCTGCAGGCCAAGAGGGAGTTTTAATGATGCTTTCATTCGTCAGCTCGCTCTACGTACAAATCTGGCGAGTTAACTTTACCTGAGGCTGACCGAGTGAGTTAGTGAGAAGGAAAAGAGGAGAGCTGTTTCTGTACACACATACTTCTTTGAGTTAATCCATCATGTTTGGTAAAGGTTGGGAACTCCCCCCTCCACACCTTCACTGAGACAAAGTTCTCATTTATGCAGACGTGCTGCGAGCTGGTTCTCTCCCCAAGGAGAGCAGTCGGGCCTCCTTATGTTTGTTTTTCTTTTGAATGCGGGGGGGAAGGTAAAGCGAGGAGCACATGTAAGACTTGTAGCTGATCGCCGTGCAGACAGCCACGAAGGCTGCAGACATGGAGATTTAACCGCACATAAGGCGTCACAGCTGGGAGCGGAAGCCCAGCCCACAAAGTCAGCACTGGCACAGGGGACGGGGACGGGGACGGGGGGGGGGCGGGGGGGGGGTTCCCCCTGTCTCCTCCCCTCACTCTTTTTTTCAGCTTGAGTGTGCTCTGTGTCAACAGGTTGCTAAAGAACAACTGAGTCACTGGATGTGTGACTAAGCGACATTTCGAGGCCCGTTATGTGTGTCACAGTCCAGCCTGCTCATGTTTTTTTTATGTCTATATCTCAGAGGAGGACTTTCGGCGGACTGTTTCACAGCTGGTGTCTCAATAGCTGGATTGTATTTTAGGGAGATGCGTTTAACGTTCAAAAGGAAAAGTATGCACAAAAGTAACGGCTTCGTCGTGATGTAATTGCTGAGAACAAGATGCCGTTACAGCGTTCAGAATGAATGTGTCTTTGCCTGAGGATGCTCATGCCAAGCTACCAGTGTGGGGTTTTGTAATTGCCCGAAAGCTGCTGCTTGTTGGTCAGGGGATGATGACGTGCCCACAAAGAAAGAAGACAAACAGAATAGAGGTTATTAACTTCTCCTCAACCTATTAATACTTAAAAGTGTTTAATGATCCTTTTGAGAAGATGGGACCAAGACAGATAAACATGTCACTCAGTATTTGTTCTTAATAACATGACAGCATATGTACTCTCATATGACCTACGTCTAGTGTGGCCTTGTGTCCTCTCTTTGATTACTTTTTTGACAGAAAATGTGATTTGTTATTGTGTTTCTTTGTAGTTACATAAATCGTGACATATTCTCTGGAAGGGAGGCGTGTTCATGTGTTCAGACGGAACACATTTCATTATTTGAATTATTTAACAAAAGCATAAAATGACGGATTAATCAATAACGGAAATAATATCAAGCTGCAGCCCTGTCATTGATTAAACGGCCAATTATTGATTAATCGTTTCGTCTGTGTCAAACTGAAAACTCATGATTTCCTGATGCCCAAATTGACTTTCGGGAAGGTGGAGCCAGAGAATGTTTGGCTTTGGGATCAAGGATCAAAGTTGTTCTAGATAAGTTTTCTGTCGATCGTCTAATTGATTAAGTGACTAATTGTCTTAAGTTATAAACCCCAGCTCCTGGACCAATATAAGAATAGGGTAGAGATGAAAGTTTATTTTAACATCATGCTTAATTCTAGTGGATCGTTGAATACTGAGCTTTTGGAAGGTGGAAGACATATTTTTTGAGGCATTTTATCTTTATTTGCTATGATAGTAGAGATGCAGGGAGATGTGGTTATATGTGGTTATCTGTAGTTATATACTGTATGGTTATATGGTCTAAACCACAAAGCCACCACACGCCCATGGAAGCTCTTTTATATAATGTTTATTTTTGCTTTCTTTCTTTAAAAGAATGTTACACTGTGACATTCTTGCAAGCTGATGCTGTATGCTGGTAGCACTTCAAGTTACACCACCAACTTTGCCAACATTCAGTTTCACTTTTCGCTGTCTCAGGATCAATACACCCCCCCCCCCCCACCCCCACACACACACACACACACACACACACACACACACACACCGACACACTTGGGGCTTGTCTGGCTGTTCCCAAGGGAGCTACAAGCGTACAAGCCGCCTTGTGTGTCCCCGATCATAGAACTCCATTCACTCTGAGCGGACTGTTGAAACACTAACACGCGCTCAGGGGGATACGGTTTCCGCCAGCGAGTGTTGATACCTGCTGCTATTGTGTGCCGGAGCGGGTGGGTGTGTGAAGTGGTTAATGCATGCGCTATCTAATCTGCGTTTTCTTCTCCCCCAGGGTTGACAAGGATCGGAGTGGCGTGATATCAGATTCTGAGCTTCAGCAGGCCTTATCGAATGGTATGTATCAGTGTCTGACTTCTGACACTCCCTTGTTTGTTTCTCTCTCCTTATACCTTCTTATTTCTGGACGTTTGCGCTCCGTCTCCAATCTCTCATCCTTTTTTTTTCTTCTCATTTTTTGATCCCTCCGTCTCCCTCCCATCCCCTCGCTCTACACACCATCGCTTTCTGCCGCTCTTTGATTTGAGTAACTGCCGAGCTTAAGCAGAAAATGAATTGTGATTTTATTTTGATCCCCGCATGGCAGGTGAGCTGAATACAAATGAAAGGAGTATTATTTTTGTCCCAGGACAAAAGAGAAGCAGACGAAAAGTTTTACGATTGCAGCTTCAAAGAAAACACAGTGTCCCAGTGTTGACAGCCCACAAGGCGCTGTAACGGCTGCTGATTGAAAGTGTTGCTGTGGACTTGTCACAGTCCACAGCAGTCCAAACAGTGTTGCAGATCTACATCTGGAGGGTCCCGCCAGGACAAGAAGTGTGAGGAGGGAAGGACCAGGAAGTGTTTTGTCTCTAGCCAGAGATGCAGTTCGGGTTATCACGCAGGTAGTTTCATTGAACGGGATCAATGCTCGACAGTGAATAAGTGTGGATGCAGGCTTGTTCGTTCCTTCTCCAAAAACCAAAATAAAAGGGCAAAAGTACGAGAAACGGATAAAATGGTGTGCTTGCCTGCTCAAACGTTAGCGAAGTTGCTTACTATCTACAGTGGTTTGATGAACACGTTGGTTAGTCCACATCCTAAAAAGCCTTCTCTCTTGAAACGTTGAAAGGGAAACAGAGTGTTTGAAGAAAGGAACAGCATGAATCTAACCTCCGTCAAACTCCTGAAATTGGCGACTTCTTACTCTGTTTGAGTGGTTGGAGATACAGGCACTCCGGTTGTACAGCTTTGTTAGACTGACGGTTCTTCCCTCTGTAACTATGTTGGGCTGAGCACAGACACTCGCATGCCAAGATGTAATTGAGGCTTGCCATCAAGTTACTCAAGGAAATAAGGTTACTTACCGTCAGAGATGTTTGTTCACGCCAGATAAAAATGAGAAGCTGCTACCAGAAATGTTCTGTATGCAGTTCTTTGATCGTGGTATGAAGCTTTGCCGGCCAAAAAAAAAATCTGTGCATTTTGCCAACTTCCGTGTGTGAACTCGGAGGCAGGCAACACCCAAAAACACATTTCATTTTCACACGCGCATTTCACGATGAAGGAGAGATGGACAAAGTCGAGTTCAGTTAATTTTGATCTGATGTATTTTAGCCGACACGATCCTTTGGAACTGCACCACGGTCACATGACTTTACGTAACCACTACTCGGCTAAAGGTGTACGAGAGTTCGGCGTGATGACGTTCAGTTGTCTCAGTTAGCCACTTGTTAGCGACCGCCTTTTTCAAGACTCGCAAAAGTCGTAGAACAAACTGTTAAAATCTCTTAAGCTAAGTTAAGTTAACCACGGACCTTATTTCTAACCAGTAACCCATCGACCCCGAGACGAGGGAACCGGAAGTCCAAAAAATGCCAACAATTTAAATACATCTTGTACTCCAACAAGGAGTGTTTGGTATGCTGTAGAAAGATTGAAGACTGAGGGGAAATAGTCGGCCCAGAGGAGCAGGATTCAAACAGATTGAGGGATCACTTCTCACCAGGGCCTTGTAAACAAGGATACTTGTAATTCTCCAAGACGGTTTGGGGAGCAATGTTGAATAAATTATGTCATCTTCTCCACTCAAACCCTGGCGAGTGAAGTCCGTGTTCCACTGGTGAAGTATCCGTCTTCATGCCCACCAACAACCCAGCACCAGCATCGCCTCTTGACCATCCTCGCAGCTGGCTTGAAACACCATCGTGATTAATGAGACGCATATTTCGGAGGCTGATGTTTTGTCTTCTCATTAAAATATAACGTGGTCCCCTCGACAAGTTTGTGGCTGAATTGCTCAGGCAGCTTTTCAAAGACTTTTGAACAGATTACTCTCCTCAGAAACTCATTTTCTTTTTTTTCTGGGCACTTCAGAGGAGGAAAAAAAAAGTGTTGAAGCCGCAGCGAAGGAAGCTGTTATCAGGCTGCGCAGTGGCTCTGGCTCGGCATACTGATTAGTGTGTGTGTGTGTGTGTGTGTGTGTGTGTGTGTGTGTGTGTGTGTGTCAATTTCAACTTGATTCAATTCATTTGTAGAGGCCGAAATCACAAATTTGCCTCAGAGGGCTTTACAATCTGAACAGCATCCTCTGTGCTTGGACCCTCGCATCGGATAATCTGCAGCACAGAAAACACTCCCTGATGGAGTACAAGATTTTTTTTGAATGATGTTCACTACAGAGTGCTGCAGGAATGAGTCCTCAAACCCAGAAATGAGTTGGCATCTTTGTTGGCTCTTCTGGTTTCCTCCTCCTGAAGTCGATGGGTTTTTGGTTGGATGCATGAAATACGATCTGTGGTTAACTTAGCTTAAGAGATTTTAACGTATCTAGATCATTTATAGCCTAGCATTAGCCTTTTACTTCTGGCAATTACATTTACACTTAATACCATTAAAGTAGAGTTCATTTGTGAAGATTGTCTTCCTAGTGTCCTAAACATGTGTTTGCCACAGAGCTTATTTTCTGCTGAAATAAATTGGATCAAAATGAACTGAACTCTACTTTGTCTCATATCTTGTGTCTTATATCTACTCTCTTTTATCACTGCGTGAAATATGCGTGTGACAATGAAGAGCATGTGAATGCGAAACATTTTTGGGTGTTGCCTGACATAATACGCGGAAGTTGGCAAAATACACAGACTCTTTAGGCACTAAAAGAACAAAGAACGACATACAGAGCATTTAATAAACCCGGTAGCAGCCTCTCATTGTCTGGCGTAAACAAACATCTCTGACGGTATGTAACCTTATTTCCTTGAGTAACTTGAGGGCAAGCCAAAAGGACATCTTGGCATGCGGGTGTCTGTGCTCAGCCCAACATAGTTACTGAGGGAAGAACCTTCAGTCTAACAAAGCTGTACAACCAGAGTGTCTGTATCTCCAACCACTCAAACAGGCGTGTTTATCTTAAGTATGCGTGAGTGTTGTTCATTTTCTCTGCATCTATTGCGTGTATGTGTGAGTTTGTTCGGTGCTGTGTATATGTGCACCTTGCTGTGTGTGTGTGTGTGTGTGTGCGAGACCAGCAGGTCTCCCGGTCCCGGCCCTTTCCCGGTCCTGTCTCCATCAGTTCATTAGGCTCACTGTGATGTGACACAGAGCCAGTGAGGCTGAACACACACACTGCACTGCACTGTATCCTGTCCTGCAGTTTACTCGCTAAAGCCGCCAACCGTGCCTCTGTCTGCCTGTCTGTCTGCTATTGACCCTTCTTTTATTTACATCACACCATCAACCAAGCGTTGTCTTAACCCCCTCCCTTAAGGGAGCAGAGAGTATCAAGGCCCAGGAGGACGGGGCTTTGCTGCTGCTGTTCCCTCTCCTCCTTCCTCTGCTGGTTCTGCACCACACACACAGTCTCTCTTATTCTTATCTCACCTTTCAGCATTCAATCCATTTAATACCAGTCTTTATGCACTATGGCTCTATGCTCACTGTGAACATGATGTCATTTTTTTTCTAGTGTCACAACCTTTTCTTTTGCTTGTATTCATTTAGAAACTAGCGCAAAACATGACTACTTGAGACTTGATGCAGCATCCCTCTCCTCTCCTCTCTTATCTCCCACATTCCTCACATTCCTCAAGAGGATATGGCACCGACTCGTTGCCTGCTGTGTCCTCTTGACTGTTAGTCCTCTCTCACACTATCGTCTCCCATTTTTCTCCCGCCCATGCTCCTTTTACTTAGTCCCACTTTTTCTACTCTTTCTCTCCATTCACCCTTCCCTCTCTCTCCCTCCATCAGTCCTGGGTGTGACAGTATCCTCCCTGATTAGACACTGATTGGCTGTGTGCCGCTCCAGTGTATGCGCATGCCTGTGTTGTGTGTCGGTGCTGTGCCGTTTGCTATAAATATGGAATCTTTTGGCCTCCCATCGCCCAGCGGTGAGCAGACATCATACCGGCTTGCCGTCATGCCCCCCCCCCCC